TCGTTACATATGCATGAATGGGTTTATCAGCATCATGCGACTTTTTGGTAATTTTGATATCGTTATAAATGTAATTTTGGTATTATTAAAATCAGCTCTAGTTGCCCATTTTAGATATAAGAATTATACATTGGAAAGTAGTTAGATATATCATATAATAACATTATCAATTATTCATCAGCAAGGATGAACTTTTATAGTCTTTTATCACATTTTTATCTCTTCTATATATTGGCGTTATTTGTTGTAATGATTATCTATAGTGTTTTTTGGTATCATAGCTTATACCGATTCTTAAATAAATTATTTTACTAAATACTAATTTTATTATATCATCAGTCAGTTCAGCTCTGAATTAATTTACTATCCTTTGATTGCATCATAACCTATTTGCTATCAGTTCTGAATTAATTTAAATTTATCAATTATCCTTAATTTGATTTGTCATCTACAACCAAATTTTCAATCATCAAATATTATAATCTATATTAGCTATCAGCTCAAAAATAATTTATCAATTATCAATTAATTTATAAACTATCAGTTAGTTTTTCAGTCAAAATTTATCAAATCCACATTTAGCATCAGGAAACCATAGCTTAAATTTGGTTTTATGTTTCTCCCATCTTTTTTTCTTATACTCTAGAGCATAACCAAAATAATAGTGGTCGAATTAGACCAAACAATAATTTATTCTTCACATTTGAAAAAACAATTTCAATAGCATGTGACTCTTCAATAAATAATTTGCCATAATTTTCTAACTATATGAAAACCAAAAACACACGGGCACTCATCAATACTCTAGTATCGATTTTGACAACATTGGAACCAAATATTTTGACATAAAAAAACAAACTCACCCCATAATTTTAAACAACTTTGCAATTTGTATTCCCCATACAAGTATTGTTCTTTTAACTAGAAATTCGCAAATACATAAATTACATTGCAATTTGCATTCCCCCATACAAGTATTGTACTTTAACTATGACTAACATTTAGAATTTTGGTGGTACTTTTATGTATTTTTTTCCTTTTTTCTAATGTGAGGTGGTTTTTGGCAATTGATTTACAGCTGTACTTTACTCCGCATGTTTTATCATGGTTTGAGAAAAGTAAAATAAAATTGTAATAAAAAATAAATAAAATCAAAATGTTCCACAAATAGCCAATTTTGTCAAAGTTCTGCCTGCACGACTAAAACAAATTATAAACCGGTGAGCGTTAGGAGGCTAGCGCATTGTATAATCTTACTACTACTTATGTTGAAGCAATAGATTTTTGCTTCATTTAGGGGATAAATTCTACGCTAATTTTTTTTTTGTATGTAAAATTTTTTCTTCTTTTAATATATTTGTGCATGTATCAAAAGTTTCTAATTTATTTTTTTAATATAAATTTTCCACCTAAGCGGTATAGATACCTGTCTAGTGCACTATCTGACATACAAGAGAATAATCTAATATATTTTTTTAATATATTTTTAATATAAATTTTCCACCTAATTTATTTTTTTAATATAAATTTCAATAAGAGTATATTCTAATATAATTCGAACAACAATACCAAAGAATATTTCAATGTTGTTATTTCTGTTAGAATTTTTTTATAAATTGCAACATAAATTATAACGAAAATATTCTATCGATATTTTGACGATTTCAGCGATAAATTTTTCAACGTTTAAAAAACAGTGGGAATAAAACTTCTAATAAAAAATTCTAATATTAAGAGAATAATCAAATTTCAATAGGAGTATATTCTAATATAATTCGAACAACAATACCAAAGAATATTTCAATGTTGTTATTTTTATTAGAATTTTTTTATAAATTGCAACAGAAATTATAACGAAAATATTCTATTGAATTTTGACGATTTCAGTGATAAATTTTTCAACGCTTAAAAACAGTGGAAATAAAACTTCTAATAAAAAATTCTACAATAGTAACCTGTTGAGAAAATGACCATATTGAAATCATCAAATTGCAATGAAAATTTCAATGGAAGTTTTATATCAGTGAGATACTTTCAATATAATTTTCATTGGAATTATTCCAACGATCATTGGAATATATTCGTTGAAATTTTTATTAGAATCTTACCGTTAGTTTTGCTAATGAAATATAGTATTTTTTTATTGTGTAAAGTCTAAATTAGTATTGTTGCAGGTCTCGAAAATAAAATATTATATTCCATCGAAAAAATTATTAACGAACAATATATTATTCATTTATTTCGTTGTTCATCCCATAAAAACAAAATATTATTAATTTATTTATTTTTTATCTATATTTTTATTATATTTTAAATAAAATATCAATCATTGCTTTTGTCTACAAAACTTAATATTTAATGAACTGTCATATTTATAAATTATAACCACGAAATATTTATTTAAAATTTATCTATCACACTATAATTAAATATCATTTTTCATATCACATCAATTTAAATAATAATTTATTAATTCTTTCATTATAATTGACTGAAAAAAATCATTAAAAAAACATATGCAATTGCTCTACAACCTCACAAATAATGGGTCCTTCATCTTCTCAATCGTTCGTTTTTGCATAACCTTTTGCCAGTCTTTTAGGAGGCGATTGGATATGGTTTGAATAGTAAAATAAATAATCAAAATTCAAATTTAACTCAACTTTAACTTAATTCTACTATCTTCAATATTATCAATATAATTAAATAATATCAAACAATCATTCGTCATATCACATCAACTTTAATTCACTATTCATCCACTGACATAATTTTAATTAACCATCACTTTCAATCATTTTTTTCTTACTTTATATCAAATCAACTTTAATTATTTTATTTAAATATTATTTAATATATCCACTAACAACTAACCAGACCATCTTTTTTCAAAATTAACTATAGTTAAAACAAACCAAATAAAAACTAGTTGAATCCATAAACAAAATTTCATAGAGTAATAGTAAAAGTAGGCTGCAATTGTGTGCTCAAAAAGCTAAAATCAAGTGATAAACTAAACACCTGTAACCAATATATATATTTTTTTTTCCTTATTTCTTGTTTGAAATGTTTTGAATTTAATTAGTTTTTCAAGAACATCTTTTATTTTTTTTTTTCCTTATTCTAAAGTGCTGCCAATTTGGTATTAATTAAAGTTTTAATAAAATAAACAGATCCCGGTTTTGGCTCTTATCAAAACACATCTAAATTTATGGGAAATTCCCAGGGGGAAAATCTATATGTCATTTTTGTTAAATATCTCGTGTTTTTTGACAATAGACATATTATGACATATTCATTATTGGCTTGAGAGTCGGACTGAAAGAGCAATCTATATATATAATAAGAATTATCATTTAATAAAAATAGTAACAAAAAAATAAGAGAAAATTTAATGCAACCTATAAATAGTAAGTCTTTTTTATTTTATATTTTTATCTTTGAAAAATCATATTAACATTAAATGTTGTATTAATTTTGGGTTTAATTCATTTTATTATTTAAAAATTCCAGTCAAGATCTATTAAGTGTGCATTTTTTATTTTTATTTTTTTCATAGAAACACCGAGTAACATTAAAAACTAAGTCTCTTTATTTATAAAATCTCAATTCAAAAGGTAATAAAATTTTAAAATATTGGTCTTTATATTTATGCCTTTAAAAAAAAAGAAAAGATATTGAATGCTATTCTTTACATATCATTTTTCACTAATCATCACAAATTTTTTATTTGGAACGTGTGATAATAAACTTGGTAATGTTTATTATTATTTTTTTTACCAATCTATTATTTTTTTATACTCGGTTTTAAAAGGTAAAATAATTTTTAAATTCTCAGTCTCAATAATTGTGCATTTAAAAAAATATATTTAATGATAATATATTATTTGTTAATAGTACACAATTTTGAAAACTCCATTATAAATTGTATGTTGATATCCAAATCATTTTATAAATGCAATCGACTTTGTTAAATATCCACGAAAATATGGTAAACAAAATTAGACGATCAACTTTGTATGGAAATAAAATAGAATCAATAAATCAACGTGAAGTTAAGAGGAAATTAACATAATGAATAATTTGTATAGTACAAGGATCTAAAAATTAATACTCACGTGGATTCTAAAATTCAAACTTATACTTAACATCATCTTTTGGAAATTGAATAATATATTGTAGGCAAGATTTTTTTAAATAATTTTAACATGTTTTATTTATAAAATAGTTTAGAAAAATTTTAGGTGACTTCATCTTTCAATGAGGATATATAAAATTTTAGATACTTTACATACGTTATATAATATTTTAGGTGTTTTTAATATTTTAAACATACATTTTTTATGTTATTTTATACAAGATAATTTTATATTGTTTACATCTGATATATGATAAATTATGTCACATATGAACTCCACATCTTAATTACAATTATTAATTAATATTGTTTACTCTTATATTTAATTTATAATTATGAGTTAATATTATTTACTATCATCTTTAATTTATAATTAGTATTTAATATTATTTACCCGTGCATCGCACGGACTACACACTAGTTACCAATTTACAACACATATATATAAAAAAAATATAAATAAAAAATTTATGATATTAAATAAGTTATTGCTAATTGCTAATTAACTATACACTTTATTATTATTATTATTTAATAAATAGAGGTGAGTTAGCACACAGCCCGAGTGCAAGTGTGTGAAATTGGGTTTTCCACCCACACGTGCGGTTTCTCGATTTCCATGCACACCCACACGCACGCACCACACTTCGACACACTTTTTAGTTATACTTTTTAAAATTTTGCAGTTAAATACATTAAACCCACTACACACACACAAACACATTGGGCAGTTTTTGCCTTGGCTTCACCATCTTCTTTCTGCGTCGGTTACTCAAACTCACTCAAATTTCACACTTTCCCCTCATATAATATTAAATTCATTTTCTTGGCAACTTTCAAAAGAGATTGACAGTTTTCAACAATGGATCTGCAAATCCCGATGAACAATGGCGTCGCCGATAAGACCATTATACCCCCACAACCGAACCCCGACGAGAGGCGAACCAGGGGCATTTTCGGTGCGGAATTTGATCAGAAAATCGGGCGCCCAAAGAAATTATGTGCCAGAGGCCATTGGAGGCCACATGAAGACGCCAAGCTTAAAGCCCTCGTCGCCCAATTTGGCCCTCATAATTGGAATCTCATCGCCGATAAACTCCCCGGAAGATCAGGTCAGTCAGTCATTGGGGTTTTGTACAGTTCGATCAACACACACGCACCCATTTGGGTATGTGTGTGTTTATCCAAACTCGGTAGTACAGTGCAATCAGGGATAGACTAGAATTTTTCTCATTAATGTAGTCATTGAGTTTTTCATTATTGAATTTTTCTCATTTATGCAATTATTAAATTTTTATCCCACACATAATTTACTTGTGAGTATGTGTATGTGAGGGTATCCTATTAATGTATTGTTTTTATTTTTTTCTTAAATATATAGTAATTTTAGTATTTTATGGTCCAATCTTCCCCAAGTTAATGTATTATTATTTCCATTTTATTTTATTTTTTTCTCCAGTATATAGTAATTTTAATATTTTAGGGTCCAATCTTCCCCATTAATGTATTATTTTCATTTCATTTAATTTTATTTTCGCCAATATATAGTAAGTTTAGTAATTTGGGGTCCAATCTTTCCCCCTCAATGTATTATTTCCATTTCATTTCATATTTTCTCCAATATATGTATAACAATTTTGGTATTTTTTGTTTATTATAGGAAAAAGTTGCAGGCTTAGATGGTTCAACCAACTGGACCCGAAGATCAACAAAGGCCCATTCAGTGAGGAAGACGAACGAAGGCTCTTGGCGGCCCACAGTCTATACGGAAACAAGTGGGCCCTGATTGCCAGGCTATTCCCTGGCCGGACAGATAACGCCGTCAAGAACCATTACCACGTGGTCATGGCCAGGAGGAGCAAAGAGTCTAACGGCGTTTGCCGGAGGTTGGTGAATAAACGGCCCCGTTATTCGTTCGGGAACGTGTGTAGCGACTCGTCGGCAACGATTTCAAGCAATAATAATAATAATGATAGAGATGATAAGAAGTATTGTTATTCCAATGCTGAATTTTTTGGGCGGTTTTGTGGTAGTCGGGAGAAGCTCGTGGACCGTGAAACGGGTACGATTTATGGATAATTGCAAAGAATACCCCTAAATTTCTGTTTATTTACCAAACGATCAGTTTCACATAATAATATACAAATTATTTATATGGATAACTAAATGTTAGACTTAATTTACATAATGTGGAAAAGATTCTGTTATTTTTAAAAATGAACCTAATAATTTTGGTTATATTTAGTAAGTAATTCAAACTAAATTCCATGGTTTGATATTTAATATGTGACATACATTAATACATATATCCTTTGTCAATTGATGTAAAAGGTTTATGTAACTGGCTTTCTTACTATTGAGTATTGATCAATTACCAGTTATGTATATTTTATTGTTTAAATCTTATTTTTTGTAATCTTTTTTTGCAGGAGAGAAAATCAAATTGCAGGACAACATAAGTATGTGTGGAAGTGGACCCAATGAGTCTAATGCTGCAAATGTAGTTTATCATCATCAACAACAAGATCAAAATTCAGATTCAAACTCTGAAATTTTTGCAGTATCTGAGTCAGTAAGCAAAAGCAGCAATAGGTCCAATTATCTCTATATGTGTGGGGGAAATGAGGAGAAGACTGGAAAATTACCATTTATTGATTTTCTTGGTGTGGGGGCCATTTGTGAAACTAACTAAAGTA